ACCCCTAATATGTAGCAAGTAAAAATACTTGCTTCATATATGTTTTCTGGCCATCTGCATCAGTGTTATTCTATGGGTCAAATGGCACACTTGGGCACAATCTGGCACATTTGGAGAGTTTTGGAGACACTGGTGACGATAAAGTTCAAAGCCCCACAGCTCTGGAATTGTTATAGATCTGAAATTTTCTGCATTTGTGGTTGACATTTGAGTCCTGTTTGAACTGATGTAGTTTAGGCAGTTTTTGTCTTACTATTTTCAGAAATGAGAAGGTGTTAGCTTTCAAATGATGTATCACACATGTAATTCTGGCTTACAGTTCCTCAGTTTATCTCGATTTTATCTATTTCCAAAAGACATATTTGGAAATACGACGCTTTCTCTATGATGATAAAACAAACAAGTTGTATGTTGTTTCTGTAAAAATTGTTGCTTTTTTTTTGTTTTTAGGAACAAGGTTAAATGAAATGTTGGCACTGCTTTGTTTCAGAGCATCAGTTTCAGAAAAGTTTTTAAAGGTTTAAAATATAAATCATAAAGGTCGCCCTATCTAAATTTCACCTGCTAGTAACTAATATTAGCAAGTCAAATCTAAGAGAGATAATTGCTTTATTTTACCTCGTTTGTGCTGATTCACTCGAACAGAAGCTGGTTTAAACAAAACATAGAACTTTATTGATCTCACATTGGAGAAATTCACTAGTGACATCGACTCTTAAACATCCAATTCCTGCTTCTCTCTTGTCTTCATGAATATAAACCTAATTTTCCTCCTATAGAAAACTTCCCATGCTTTTTGTTTGCTCTTTTCGTTTCTTTGTTGTTTTTTTCTGCCCCTCGCTGTGTCTGCAAACCCCCCCACCTCCAAACATGAACATCACATTTGGGTCTGGGCCCACTGGGGCGCCGTTAAATGGCCGTTCTCGGCTCCGTCCCTTGGGAACCTGCAGTCTGGGTAGCGGTGAGAAGTAAAGCTCTCAGTGAGCCTCTCCAGAAACCAGTCAGAGCTGCGATGGGAGGAAGTTGGGATCACGATGCCGCTTGCTTTGCTCAGACAGTTACTGGTAATTGGTGTCTAGGAATGCTGTCGTTTTCCTTTGCTTTTTCACCTGCTTATATTAAAGCTTCCTAAAGACTTTGTATCGTTATAAACTACAAAACTGACAAGTTCTAATTTATTTGCTGCGTTGGTAACGTTTTGCTCCATTAGTGAGAAAAATCAATAAAGACATATTAAAGGCGTAATGTAGAGCTGCAGTTTAAAATAACTGAAGCAGTCAAATTTTCTATCAATTAATTTTGTGATTTATAAAAAAAGAAATACATTTAATAGATTTCTAAATAAAAAATGTTTGGAACTTTGAATTAAGATTCACTATAAAAAAACATCCATATATTTATAAAAGCAGACTATATTCAATTCAATTCAATTCAGTTTATTTATATAGCGCCAAATTCACAACACATGTCATCTCAAGGCACTTTACAGTTCAACCAGATCATCCAGTCAAATTGATACAAAGTTTTCTGTCTAAGGAAAACCAGTTGATTGCATCGACTCATTGACTCAAATACAATCCCTCACACTAAGCCTGCTTGTAATGACAGTGGAGAGGAAAAACTCCCTTTGAACAGGAAGAAACCTCCGGCAGAACCAGGCTCAGTGTGAG